GCTGATATTCAGACAGATTTAAAGTTTTGCACTAACAGCCAACAGCAAGGGGTCTCAAGGTGAAGTGGGTGAATAAACCATCAAAAATGTCATTTACAACTGCTGCACTTCGACAGAGCAAATGTGTTAGAATTAATGCTAGAGAGATTTGCAGACACTTTGCAAATACAGACACGTAGCCGTGTGGCAGCTGGGTACAGGCCTTTTCTGCAAAACATTTTCTTTAAAGTCTGAAATGCCGGAGTACAGACATGAGACCACTTGGAACACAAAATGAACTTGACAGTTTAAACACCATCAGCTGAAAAATTCCATTTACTTAATTCTGAGAAAATAATCCAAATGTATTAGTCTTCTTTGGTTCAAACAAAATTAGTTTTAAATTATTTTTTAACAAAATCTCCCTCTCTGCTCAAGGGGTATTTGCACAGATAAGGAATCAAGAGCAATTACCTACATTCAGTGCTACCTCCAATATTAATGTCTGTTCATCTGACTGACATTTTTCCTACCAATCGTAAAAATTGCAGCTACGTGACTATGACAATACAGAAAGAGCCACTTTCAACATTTTCCTACTTGATCTGATTCTAGAAAAATTCATCCAAATGCTTAACTTTGGTGTAATAAAATACTCACTTATGAATCATATAAATTGTATTAACAGACTGATTATCCGCACACACTAAAAATACTATTATTATTTACAGGGCAGGAATCTAGTCCTGCCATTTTTGCAAGTCTTTTGGTGAGCAACAAGGGAGAGAACAATTTTATTTTTTTTAAAGAGCAGAAACTCTTGATTCCAGTATCATAAAAGCTGGAGAAGGGAGTTAGTGTCAGATATAACCACTCAATCTAACTTAGACTTTTTACTTTCTTTACGAAATGAACGAGATTCCAAACTAAGGTAATTCAGTTACTACAGTCTTACAAGTGAACAACAGCTGTTCACCACAAGTCACAGACAGTACACAATATTGCATTTAAACAAAGTAGTTCTCTAAAGCATACCAGAGACAAAAGTGAATGGATTAATTTCTGGAGCTCGTTATTACTGGTAAGTTCTACCCAAAAATCTACTGAATCAGAGCGTGGTATTTTGTTCTAATTGCATACGTATGAAAAGAAAGGTCTATCCTCTTGGAAACTAACTGTCCTGCTTTACTGACCCTTGGTGAAACTCAGTCACAAAATTACCTGTAAATTAGGATGCTGTGAAAAAGAAAAGAGAAATACCTAGCAGCTCTGCTTGTAGGAATTCCAAGATAGTGCATGGCCTCACTACACAAAAATTCTCGCACAGAAGAACGAAGCACAGCTCTTCCATCACCATTCCTATGGAGAACAGAGAAATAAGGAATAGGTCATAAAATCAAAGAAAAATTCAAAACCAAAACATTCAGGTTTTGTTTACATAGATTAACTGCAATTTACCTGGAATATGGGGTCTTCCCTGATCCTTTTAACTGTAGTTCCCACCTCTCACCATGCCTGCAAAAATACCATTAGCATTTCCAACAGTACACCTCAGGCTATGCATGAATCAGCTAAATGAGAAGACAGAGTTGAATCAGTCACTTTAAAAAGTCACACCTGTTTGTATATACTCCAATCAAGTGGGCTCTTCCATCACCCAGCTGCCCTGCCCAGCTACCAAACTGACAAAAAATGAAAATCAAGTTATTTGCTTCTATAATTTACGGCAGCTGTGCTTGAAACAGTAAAAATTACATGTAGGTTTCCTGTGATCTACACAATATAATGACACATTTGTTCAGGCAGTCATTAAAATATTGATTCCTAAAGCTGTATTTCCACACTCATACTAATAATGAATCAGAAAACCACAGAAAAAGAATAACACCAGTAATCCTCTTTTTTTTCCCCTCTACCTTCCAGCTATGATATACAGCTACAGCCTTGTCTCTTTTATATAATGAGCCTTTAAACTGACACAGCTTGTAATTATTTTTTAATAGGTAATTGCAAAAATTTTTCCATTCTTTTCCATGAATAATCTTACCCATTTCAATGAAACTTAACTCTTAGCACTGCACTCAGTACTGCAGTGAGGCTCTGTCCTTCCTCGCTGTTCTGAGCTGTTAAAACCTACCACGAATCAGACCTTGTCAGGCTGCAGTGCAGCTAAGCAGACTCCGCAGCTAATGGAAGTTAAAAAGATAATTTGCTTCTGGCATAAACAGCAGCAGAGAAAAGTAGACATGGTACCATGAAAACATATTGTCATTCTCTTCCATCTGCAGCCCCTTATGAAGAATAAATCTGCAATCAACATGTTCATAAGTGTTCATATACTTACAGGCATATACTCATACATTTACAGGTATTACCAAGGTATAATTCAAATGAAAAGACCTACACAATTCCTCCTGGAAGAACAAGTGCCATGGTTACCTGATGACCCCCATACCTATGGGCCAATGGAACAGACCCAATCATCACTTTCTCACCACTGATGAAATGAAGAAAATCAGATGTTCCTTTGACAGATATATCAAGATCCAAAATATTTTCAAGAACTTCCTGGAGAAAAAAGTAATATAGATAGTACTTCAATATGATCAAATTGTCAGTGTAATGAATGTGTTTTCTCTACAGATTTTGTTATTAAAAGACATCTCACAATGTTTTAAATGTTGTTTAAAGCATACATTGATGCTTTTACAATAAATAGCATATGAATATTAAAATATATTTTAGCACATGTATTAACAATTTCTGCTAATTAGAGAGGAACAAAAAAATAGTAGCCAACCTTTGAAACAGCTACAAGATGAACTCTAGATTTAAAAGGTGTAGGATAGACAATTGAAAAAATGCAGTTTCTCACATTACGGACATAATTTTTCTGGATCACGTCAATTGGAAAAGGATCTGTAAACATGAAACAGACAACAAATATTTTTTGAAAGCTGCTAATTACATTATTCTTAATATCTTTTCTCTTAAATCCAATCAAAATACTTCAGAAACAATTAAAACTCTTTACCACAATGTCTATTAAGCCTGCATGAAGAGCAAGCTCAAATAAATGCAGTATTTTAGTCTATTTGGGATTTTTGAAAAGCAGCATTGAATTCTGCAGTTAAACTAGTAAGGCATGCTAGTTTTAAGATCTAAAACATATTTAAGGGTAGATTCAATTAACTGTGGTCAGAACAGTCTCAGGGCAGTTTTATATCGTGCTCAATTATATGCAACCCTAAAAGATATTTGCATGAGACAGAAAATTTCTCCTGCCCCCACAGCTGAATGATGCAGTGCAACAGACCAAGTCATTGTGCACCAGTTGCTGTGGTATACAGCCCGCATGCAGCGACGATCACCAAGTAACCTAAGAAACCAGCTTGAAATCTTCTCTGAGTAATGTACACAGTGAATGAAGGGATCAGAAGATGCAGTTCACGATGAAGCATAACATATGTACTCAAAAGACGTGCTTCATTCTTCCTTCAGACCTACTCTGTGCCCTGGTCCATGGTAAATACTGTTTTAAAACACTGAATTAATGCTGTGTGTTTTAACATCTTTAATGATCTTTGCTTGCAACAATCTTATGATTCCATGTTAATTGTAAAATCCCAGTACCTCACAGTCACCGTTTTGTAAAAATGTTAAGGTAGGTAGTATCTCTGGAGGCTGGCTGTTAGCCATGTTCCTCAACACCTCTAATGACAAATCCTGTTACCACCAGCTGCCTCAGGATTTATCACTGACCATTATTTCTTAATGCTCACAAGTAATTGTATCACCCAAAGAAATTATTTCTGTAATGCTATGATATAAATAATCTTTATTATTACGTGCAATTCTGTATGCCCGAGAGCTATTTTGCTTTGTGTACTTCAAATCAGTTGTCAGGTTATGATGATAAATAGCTAATACAAAAAAAAGAGTCCTTATGGCCAACCTGGTTTTAATTTCTGAAGTAGCATTTGAGCGTGTATGTTCCTCCTTCCCCAGCCACTACAACCCGCCAACCAAAGCACCAGGGCAGAGCAGGCCGTACCGAGAAGGCTCTCGGAGGAGAGGGCCCATGCACAGAGGGTGGCCGCCCCCCGCTGCAGCGAGCAGAGCCCCGGCTCAGGGTGCGAGGCGTTCGGGCCGAGAGGAGCTG